AAGTGCTGTTCCCTTGGAATTTGGCCCTGGTGGAAAGGAGTCATAGAGGACATCTGTCTTCCCATGGATGCTGTGTTGGACATAGCACAGAGTACAGTCTCTGGATGTTTATTCTACTTGGTAACGAACACCTTGGTATTTGGAAATGTCTGAATATTTTGTTGTTTTGCAATGAGGAAACCAAACATCCAGGTGACAGCATGGGTCTTTGACCTTTGACTTCTTGGCTATGTCCTTTGATTCCACACAAGCTAAACCAGCATTCCTGTTTGTCACCTGAGCATAGGTGGGGATTTCACAGTCACTTTGGGAGACTCGGGTAGCAGAAAGGTTCTGGAGGAACTTGTCTGGGCCACCTTCTGTCTTCACATCGTCGGGGGGTGGAATGTTTGTGGAGCCCAGTTTTTGTGCTTCGAGGAGAAGAGATCAGGTGCTTAGCTTTTGTCTGCTTTGCTTCAATAGTGAAATGTTATTTCAAAAAGGACTCCAGCGAACATTGTTTTAGAACTCTGTGCTTCCTGATTCTGTTTTTTGGCAGCTGGAAATCAGTGATGAATTCCATAAAGATTTGGCCTTGGGCAGGAATGAAAATAAAGAATTAGGCGTGCGTTGGTTGGTGCAGAATCTCTCTTGTCCCTGGCTCTTTGTGTTTGCTTGGCTACAGAGTTCCAGAGGACAGACTCCAGAGCAGGATCTAACAGAATGGATGGATGTGCAGCTGATCTGCCTCAATTTGTGTGTGTGTATGTGTACACATGTTCCCACGTGGTACACATGTGTGGATGCCAGAGGTTGATAGCAGGTGTCTTCCTCAATTGACTGTCACCTTATTTTGTTTGTGTGTTTGGTTGAGATAAGGTCTCACTTTGTAGCTCTGATTTGTCTGGAACTTGCTATTAGCTGGTCTCCAACTCACAGATATCCTCCTGCCTCTGCCTCCCGAGTGCTGGGATTAAACACTGGCCTACCACCTTATTTTTTTGAGACAGGGTCTCTCGCTGAACCTGGAACTTACTGACTGGCCAGTGAACCCTAGGGATCCTTCTGCCTCTACCTCCCCAGCACTGAGATTACAGATAGGGTACCACACATGGCTTTTACAGGCGTGCTGGAGATCTAAGACCTCTTGCTTTTGCCGACTGAATCATTTCTTCAACCTCCCATTTTAATATTTGTTGCGTGTGTGAGATGTCTCTTAAGTTTGAAAAATGAAACCAGACAAGAAAAGTAAATAATATTCAATCTCCAACCCCCAGGGAATTCACTTCAAGGGTATTGCTAACAACTTAGTCTACATTCTTCCTGATGTTAGCATCGTCTCTGCACCATGTTTACAGCTTTAGCCTGTGTACATCGTGGGTTGGTTATGCTGTTTGTGTTTTTATATGTTTTATAAACTTATCGTGTACATTTGATTCAATCTATGAGTTTTCATTTATCATTTACTCTACAGTGACCTCTTCCGAGTCTGAACAGAATCCTTCCCTGTCTTGTAGCTGAGCACTGCCCTGTTGACATGTAGGATTAGCATTATATTATTAATGATTCTTTTTATTTATTTATTTTTTGAGCTAGACAAGGCCTTAAGTAGTCCAGGCTAACCTTGAACTCCCTATGTAGCTGAGACTGGCCTTGAACTACACAGACAACCCTGCCTCTACCTCCCTAGTGCTGGGACTGTAGAGGTATACCCCCACACCAGGCTCAACAACTCTTCTTAGTTTTTTAAAGATTTATTTTATTATTTATTTATAAATAGGTGTGTGTGTGTGTGTGTGTGTGTGTGTGTCTGTGTCTGTGTCTGTGTCTGTGCGTGTATGCATGTGTATGTGGGTGCTCACAGAGGGCGGAAAGGGGCATCAGATACCTTGGAGCTAGAGTTAAAGGCTGTTGTGAGCTGCCTGACGTGGGTGTTGGAAACTGAACTCACATCCCCTGAAAGAGCAGCAAACATTTTTACCCATACAGCCATCTCTGCAGCCCCCCAGTGACTAGTTTCTTGATGGGTTCCAGAATTTTGTTCTAAAAACTACCTGATGTGACAGTTTTGTTCTTGTGCCTTAAAAGACCCTTTCAGTTTTCTATGGGCGATATAACTGAAAGTGGCACTAACTAGGCAGGAAAGAGAACAGTGTCACTAGTTTTAATAGGTGCTACCAAATTATTTCATGGAGTGATTTCTCTGGATGTAGGTTCCCGTTCTCCGTTCGCGTCTCTGTTCCCCTATGCACTCACAAGTTCAAAGTGACGCTCATCTTCCTAATTTTGGTAATCAGCTGGTGAATAAATGTCTCATTATTGTTTTAATTTGCATTTCCCTGATTGTTAATGAGCTTGTGCAGCTTTTCAGATGTTTTGGGGGTATTTACAGTCCCTGCTCTGTGAAAGCAAAAATGACACACATACATTTGACTTACACGACAAAATGAATGTAGCCCTGCGGGTCTGAGAAACTCAGAAGTGTGTGTTGAAGGGGGTGTTTTACGCCAGAAGGGCGGCCTCCCGAGGATGCACTGAGGCTTGGTGCGCAAACATTGATTTAATAAATTGCCCAATTCAGTGTTTTTGGTTCCCATTTTTATAGAGTTGATGTTGAAGATATTTAGCTCGCTGCTAAGCAGCCACTAATTAATGGTAGGCTCCCTGTTACAGAAGTGTGACAAGTCCCACTGTTGGTAACATCTAAGGGCATCTGTTTTGGAAATGCCATAGTTTATAAAATCTGGGATTGGTGGAATGTCTAGGACTCTCATCAGGAGCAGTAATGTAGGAAAGAAAATGTTAACAGTAGTGCATGGGGTGTATTGATCAGGTACCAAGGTTCTAGAAGGGCAGGAATATCCCCTTGAGTGAATATACTGGAGTCTAGTACATCCCCAAGAAGCTAATATTCAGGGAGTGTAGCCCCTTGAAATGGCTTCTTCAGTAGAATGCCCTAGGCCCAAGGAGAGACCAAGCTGACTGTGTGTCCTGGGGGAGGGGGGTTCAAAACAGTAGCAGCCAGGCTGTGCTACCCCACACCAAGATCTGATGTCTTGGGTAGCCTGTGTCCCCTCCCCATGCAGTTCAGGGTCAAGTCCATTTGGAATATGCCATGTGCCAAAATCTGGATCCAGGCACAAGAAAGACATTGACAGTTTGGATGGGGTCCAGAGCGAGGCGCTGCCATGATTAAGGGCTTACAGGCCTGACATTTGAGCGGGGGCTCAAAGAACTGAATATTTACAGCAGGGCTCAGGGCTGGATTATGAGGCTTGGTGACTCATGGCCCTGTGGCTGCATCCCCAAATTACCCTCCATGTGACTGGTTCCTCAGAGGCAGGGAGAGAGCCCATTCTGATACTCCCAAGAGATTGGGGTACAGAGGGTCTCCTGGTGTCCCTGTGTGTCGCAAATTCAATGAAAGAGCTGACCACTGCCTCCCCACCTCTCAGTGTGACAGCTCCAGGTAGCATCCTGGGACTGGGATTCAGATAGGTTCCCATAGGACTGGGAAATTTGACATGGGTTTTCCCTTCAGAACACCCACCCTGCCTGGGGGAGGGACGGGCTTCTTCTTGTTAAGGGGAGATCTGGCCTGTTGTGTGGGCTCTTTTGCTGGTGATGGGCCTGACAGGAGACCAAAGTGAGTGGAGCACAGGCTTTTTCTATTGTAGATCTGAAACCTTCAGATTTATTATCTTTCAACCCATCTCCCTTGTAAGCCACTTTCCCTTCCCCAGCTCCATGTGCTGACTGTGAGACAACTCCGTGATTGTGTAAGAGTTGGGGTCAGTGTTATCTAAGCTAGGTGACTGCCGAGCCTCATTCCCAACCCTCTGCTTGCACTGTGAAGAGGGCTCCAGCACTTACTCTAGTAATCCCATGCAAGGCTATAGTGGTGAGCAATAATCTTGGCTTTGAATTCAGCATCAGTAACCTCTCTCTGCAGTCATGTTGTGCATGGACAGGATCAGCTGCCATGTATAGAGTGGTGCAGGACACTTTTATTTATATTTACCTCTTTTGGGAGGCACATCACCGTCAACTGCTCTGCCCTCTCTTCTTTTAAGAGAGTGATTACCAAGTGGCTTTCTTTATTTTCAACTTTAGGTCCTTACAAGATGAGAACATTAGAACTGGTCTGTGAGTTGACAGGCTGTGGGAGTCACAAGAGCTTTATTTTACCTGTGCTGCTTATCTTTGCAAGGTAGTTGCAAATCAATGGGTATGAACTTGCGTTTCGTAAGAAGTCATTGCTCCTATGCCTGAAATTCTAGGAATATCAGGAACATGTACCATCTATTTATCCACTAGCGGGGGAGGGTGGAGGACAGATCCGTGGTCCCAGGTGAAACTTCTTGAGAGTCCAAATATCTGGGGACCTTGGAAAAAGAAACAAGAGGCTTTGAGCAAGAAAGTTCCAGGAGCAATAATAGCAGTTGACCCAAGGGTTTCCTGGAGAATTGCATTAGCTAAGGCAGAAGGCATGGTTTGCACTCAGTACTCACCTGTGTTAACTCTAGATGATTCCTCAGTGCTCTGGGGACTAGGGGTTCCCAGTGGGAGGGTGACCTGGTCTTCTTGAAGCTCTCCTTCTCGAAGGTTTCGGCACTTGTGTAGTCTAGTGTTTGGGTTTCCTGGCCACGTGGGTTCTCCTGATAGAGCCTTCAAATTGAAGACAGGAAAAGACCTGCTCAGTACACCCCTGAATATTCCTGTGTATCCAAGTGTCAATACCTGGCCAATCCACTGTTCTAGGGAGACTTATTATCATGTGTCCCCATTCTGAATGTTATTGTGAGGACAGTTTACAATTCAGGCAATCTTCCTCCCCCTTCCTCACTTCCACCAACTTCTTGGTGCTGGAGATCAAAACCAGGGCCTTGTACACACTGAACATGTCCACTGAGCTATGTCCCCAACTCCAGCTAACTTCATTGTAAGTTAAGAAAGCATACCAGCGGTGTTTGGTGCTAAAATTATTAAATAACCACCTTTGTTTACTTTGACTTTTTCAGGTACGAAACCAGCACTGGAGCCTAATTATGGAAAGTGTGGTCCCATCTGACAAGGGCAATTACACCTGTGTGGTGGAGAATGAATACGGGTCCATCAACCACACATACCACCTTGACGTTGTTGGTGAGTTTGTCCCTCTGTTCTAGTTTGACTCATTTGAAGTCATGACAGTGAGTGTATTTTCTCTCTACATTTAAGGAGGAGATAGGTTTTATGGTGTGTGTGTGTGTGTGTGTGTGTGTGTGTGTGTGTGTGTGTGTGTGGGGGGGGG